GCCCACCATCATCCATTTAAAAATACATAAACAAACTCTTCTTTAACAGAAATTTTATAAAGTTCCCTTTCTTCTTGAACTCCTCATTCCATTCAATTCCCTACAGAACTTTATCGTGATTAGTATATTTGTATGCTTTTAAAGTCTTTTTTTGATCACCGTCACACTTTACAACAAAAATGAGTGTAAGTTTGTTTATTGCCTATGACCATAGGCTTTAATTGTTAATGTTTCTTATGAATTGAATTGTCATTACCAGTACACAATTTATTAACATAAATGTACTATACATTTTTATAATTTGTGAAACCTAAAAATACAATTTTTATTAGAAATATATCTCTTAATGAGAAATATGTTTCTCTTCAATTAGTTCAGTTATTCATGGATGAGTATTACCTAATGGTAGAAGGAGATAAGGTGCAACATCAATTCTCTACCTGTTTTTTATTTTTATAGACATAAGCACTGAGAAACCTTATTCACATAGGAATTGGAAGAGATTTATTACAATATTCCTCAAGTCTTTGAACTACTTCTAAATTATATGCCAGCAATTATAAAGTATCCTATTACCAAATACTATTATCAGGTGTTATAAAATAGAGGCTCCTTTGATCTTATTAAAAGCAAAGGATTGGAAACCACTGAACTTGCAAAAGGATTTATTACCTGTTCATTAGAGTCTCAGTTATAGTCTTATAAGAATGACTATTTGCTACCTTTTCACTCACTACCTTGTTAAATCAGATACTGATTTTTATACTCCTTTGCCAACACTATTTTTCGATAGAATTCATCATATCATTATATGTTTTCAGGACATTTTTGTTGAAATAATGACGTGCAGATATACTTCAATATGGAAAACACCTGACATTTGTGGAATTAGCAAAGCCAATCTTCATTTCAAACCACTAGCCTATATGGTAATCAGACAAAACAGACTTACATTCTGTCGAGAAAAAGTTTGACTTTATTCTTCAATTCAAGTAAATATGTTAATATACATTTTAAATAATATGATTTAAAAATCACTGGGAAATAAGTTAACTGTAGCTTATAAAATAAATTACTAAACATCAGTCATGTTCAAAATTATATAGATCTAATAATATAAAAATTATAAAAACAAGATAATACTGTTTCTCATATAATTTGGAATTATGCCATATAATATATAGCTAAATCTATTAGTTAATTTATTAAATGATAAATAGAGTAGAAGGCAGATGTGAGTATGTGCTTGTGTGGAACTATGATGTTTGTCTTTTGGGAACAATGAAATAACAATCATGTATAAAAATCAGAAATAACTAATAATTGTTAGACTTCATGATCAAACTTTAATAAAAAATAAAGGTATATTTGCTAGCAGATAATGGGTTGAGCAGCTAACAAAGAATTTCGTTTTTTGCTAGTAGGAGTTAGAAGATAGTAAACATTTTATGAGATGAAATACATAAGAGGACTCATTATAATGGGAATATTTTGATATGAAGGGAAAAAACAACCCCTTTCTCCTACTCCCCAAGTTTTTACACCCTGGCAATGCTTTAAGATTCTGTGCCTTTCTTTAGTAAAGTAGGTCAAGGACTATAGTGAAAGAGAAGGTAGAATGGAGAGTGTGCATGAATATGATGGCTGGCTCTCCAACAGATTAGTTTTAGGAAAGATTTCTTATGGAAGTTGAGGATCCAAAAATTTATTCCCTTAAAACTCTCCTCAGATTGATTTCCTTGCCTGGATACCCCTTGAAAAGCCTTAACATACCCTGGGAACGAATTCCTTGGAAAGTTTTTATGTACCCCATTTTAAAGACTGCTTGATACAGGCAGACTCATACTACACTGGCTCTGACTATACATTATTCTGGGACATCATTGCAAGTGTCCTAGGAAGAAGGAGGAAGATTTAGTGTTTTTGGAATATAGGAAAGTTAAGAGAGGTTGGAGGATGGCCCCAAGTTGGTGTAATCAAAATGGTCCTCGATATGAGCCTCAGCTTTGTAGTTCTAGAAATGTGATTTTTGTTAGTCCACACGAAGGTGTTCATGTTTTGTCACTAAATCAAACTCACAGGAAGGTAATGTATAAAATGCCAGTGATTTAATTTATACTCATAGCCACCACTGGATTCTCTCTCCTTTAGAGAAATCTATGTGGAAAGATCAGTTGTAATTAGAATCTTTTATGGATCATGAGCATGGCTGTTGTTATCAAGCTGTGGTAGCCTGATGCACCATGCCTGGCATGTAGCAAGAGCTCAGTAATTGTGGAATGAATGCACCTATTAGAGGGGGATGTTCAGGATTCTGGTAGGCCAGCCTACCATATTTTTGATCAGGTAGATTTTTCCATGTTCCTTTTAAATGGCTATGTCATGTAGATATTAAATCCAATAATATTTCATGTCGGATAATTATATAATTGCAACAAGAATTATCTATCATCTCTGAGCCTAGAAATTGGGACTGTTCATTTATAAGAGGTTGGGAATTGCTTTCCTGTGCCCTGTAATAGTGATGGTGGTAGTGGCTGAATGATTTGTATATCAGAATTCTGTTTGATGGCTAAGAATGTACTGCATAAAAAGAACAACCTTGGTTGAGTCTGGTACTTTGCTAGACTAGGGAGGTTTCTGATCCACTTGTGGCCTGGCTAGATTTTGGGAACTGTACTGTGGTAAGAAAGAACAATATCCTAAATTTTCCCTACCCCCTAGATCCCTCTCAGGAGATAATTCTTGATACTGATTTTAAAAATAGACAAAAGAAACAAGCTTTTTCAAATTCTATAACCATTAGGAATGAGGTGAATAAATGAAAATTTTGGGTTAAGTCCTATGTAGAAGCCAGAAGACACGTAGTCTCCTCAAAGCTTTTTCTAGCTCTAGGATAAGCTGTTGAGACAGAGGATAAAATGCCAGGCTGAGGCATTTCATTAGTATTTTAATAATAATATAATAATAATAATAATAATAATAATAATAAGACAATACAAAATCCAAACATTTCTTTTTACAAGTTCAGATACATTTTTCCCCGAAGTGCAAAATATTCTATGAACCGCATCATTTACTGTTTATTATTGATTGTGTAAGAGATGCTTACTATATCGGCAGCAGTGGAAGGCAGATATAAATACAGTATTTTGAGATGTCTTCTGCATGAAAAAGCAAGCTTCCCACATGGTAATGATTATTCTCTGAAACTTCAGTTCAACTCACAAAGAAGAATTAAGTTTTCTTTTTGTCCATACTGCTATAGTCTGTGTGGCTAGATAAGCTGATAACAGAACTGGGATTATATTCCCTCTAATCATATAATTTCCTGAAGGGTTCCTAGTCCAAATAATAGCCCAAAGACATGGTGTGCTACTACTGAGACAGGTCAAATTTAAAGATATCCTTGTGTTGTTTGCTTCCACTTTTTTCTTACTATGCTTAAGAAACAAGCCAAGCAGGATAACATTATTTTCTGCTTATGGTCAGTTATGCTTTGTCTCCCTCGCTCTAGTTTGACCCTCTTATATTGAGGTTAAGCAGCAAGTACAAAAGTTTGAATGCTCTAGAATGTTTTCTGACATTTTGAGATAGGACCTCCTAATCCACTCCAGAGTCACCTCAAAGATGCATATGGAGAGCACTTCTTAGATATAAATAGTTTCATTAGAGCCAAAGACCAGGACTGTATTACTGAACTTTCAGCAAAAAATTTGAACCTCCACCACCTGAAACTAACTCAATCCTGGGGAAGTCAGAACAGTCACAGCTCAATGTCAAACCTCTTGGGATTTGTAGGCCTGAGGCAGGGCAACTCAAGTCCAGACTCTGGTCAGTTTTCTCCTGACTCTGAGAGTTCCTTCAGTTCAGGGAATGGGCCTGGCCTAATAATACAGAAAGAGGGAGACAGAGAAGTAAAAGTGATTGCATGTTGCTAAGGATATAAGTGCCTTTCTGATATGCATCACTTGGTGCTCAGAGCCCTTGCAGAAATGGCTTCCCATTCCGACTCAAATCAGGGCAGGTTTTATATTAAAGTAAATGAAGCCTTACAGTTCTGTGGTCCTGTAAATACCCATCCTGCAGAGAGGCCTCTGGGCTGATTTTATGAAGGGTTCCCATTATACCATCTTTCTACTTCTCTACACTGTATAAAATCCTGTTTTTCTGTCTGAACCGTAAAGGCCTAGAGAGTCCCTGAGTGTTGACTCTTTCTTCAGTCCTCCTAATCCCTAGTTTGATTTCCCCAGAGTCAGCTTCCTCCATAGGTTC